GAACTCAATGATTATCCTAATTATATTTTAGATTTTTTATATTTAAAATGAGATGTTTATCCTGTATTTGATTGTGTTTATCTACAGTTAGTTACACGAATTCAGTTATGGGATGAAATCGGATAAAGATGAAATTGTTTAGGGATGAACGGGTTTAAGAGTTTTAAGAGTTTAAGAGTTTTTAAGAGTTTTAGTCAAATGTTTTATAATATAGTATAGATGAAATCGGATAGAGATGAAATTGTTTAGGGATGAACGGGTTTAAGAGTTTTAAGAGTTTTTAAGAGTTTTAGTCAAATGCTTTATAATATAGTATAGATAAGAAATAATGCTGATGTCTGAAATCTAAATCAATCAAGCATGTTTGTTTTTACTTCTGAAATCTGAATCAGTCAGACTGTTTGTTTTTGTAAACTGACAAACATCCGAAAGTCTGAAATATGAATCAAATCATTTTAATCAAATTCAATTGAAATATCTAGTCATTCAAATTATTTGTAAACTATCATTCAAATATTCAACTGAAATACGTCAATTGATTCAACACATAATAGGAAACACGAAGAAAGTCTCATAACAACTAGAATCAATATTCATTTTGCATTAATTATGTCGCAATTTCTTCTCTTAAACTAGTCATATATGTTTGGTCAGTGGCACTCCCATGCGGTTGAACCTCTTCGGCCTCATCTTCGCCATCGTCCCCTTGCTCGTTGGTTTGATCATACTCAAAAAACAACTCATCACTTAAAACTTCTCTTCGTATGAAGTTGTGAACCCCAAAGCATGCAATAACAACGTCCCTTTGAACCTCAAGTGTAAATAGTGTCATTCCTTCTAATATCGAAAAACGTGCTTTCGGGGCACCATAAGAACGTTCAATAATATTTCTAAGCTTTTGCATAAGAATGATTGAACTTTTCATACTTGTTCATTGCTCGTTGAGAACAGAAATCTCTGAGCCAATATCTAACATTACAATACGGCACTATAAATCCTCGAGTATTTGTATACGCAGCATCGGATAAATAATATTAATCTAAAAAACAATAAATAAAGAATAGTTATTAATATGAATATAGTAAATGTATTACCTTTAACACATTAGTATACCTGAAGGAGGAAATGAAAATCCAATAACACCATTTGTTAAAGCTTCGGACAGAACTCTAGAATCATGTGCAATTCTTTCTCATCCGGCAACAACAAATGTAAAAACCATGTTGAAGTCACAAATTGTCAAGATATTTTGATAGCATTCACCATTTCCTCGTCCTCTATATAAATGTTGTTTTTGAATAAGTGCGATAGTATGTATTAGAGTTCCATCAAGGGCACCAATTGCTCCCTATATTAAAGCTAGTAGTCAAAATAAATTTAGTAATAAAATTATACAACTATTATTGAATTATTATTTACCTTAAATATTCATCGTAACCTCCTATTATTCATAGGGATGTCTGGATTATGATTGAATGATGTAGGAACTATGATCTCTTTTGCAAACTCCATCATTTTATACAACACTTCATGAAAGAAATTATGAATTGTTTGTGTTGAGTGCTGTAACTTGTTTTTCAACATTCTATAACGTTGATTGTGACCTATAATCATCAGGAAGATAGTCATTTTTTCTTCAACCAATATATGCTTACTATCCGTTAACCAACTTTTGCTTTAAAGTAGAGGTGGTCAATGTTAACCAACTTTTGCTTTAAAGTAGAGGTGGTCAAAAACCGGCCGCAGGCCGGGTCGGCCCTAAATCGGTCCTGGTCCAAAACAGTAACAATCTGGACCAGTCTTGGTCCCGTCGAAAATATTAAGGCCCGGTTCAAGGTACTTGTAACCGGTTATGGTAAACCGGTCTCAGGCAGGGCCAAACCGGTCTTATATTAAAAAAACGTTTTTTTTATATTTTTTATAATTTCTTTTTGATAAACTCTTAAAAAATACTTTAATGTTATTCTAATACATTTTAAAATATCTAATTAGATCAATAAAAAAATACACTTAAAAATATATGTTTTATTGTAGTTTCATAATTGGTTATCAATCAAACACACTTAAAAATTACCTTTTATTATAGTTTTATAATTGGATTTCAATCAAATACACCTAAAAATTATGTTTTATTGTAAATTTGTAATTTGATTTTCAATCAAATACACTTAGAAAGCTAGAAATACATATAAAAATACATTTTTTTGAAAAAATCAGGTTGATCCTGCGTTGGCCTTGCTTTTGGATGAAGACCATAACCGGTCCTTAAACGACGCTCCCAAACTGGTCCTAATCGGTCCCGGGCCGAGCCAATACTAAGTGATCACATAGTCGAATGAAAACTTCACTGGACATTCACAACAACTAAATACATTGTTGATCACTACCTTCAAGTAGCTCATCCGTAAATTAACGTCCAGTCATTGCAGACGTATTATCTTTTTTCCTTTCCAAACGCCTTTGTCGCAAGTATAACATATACAAGAATATGGCGATGTGAAGTATAGTTTTTATTATTATTATCAATGATAAACTTGTTAAAAGCATAAATAAAATTATAAATAGAAGTAAACTTCAATATCATATACATTACCAAATAACAACTTATTCAACTTCCAAAAAACGTAACCAGGTAGTCAAATATCAAACACATAAGCAAATAACATGTTCAAATACAAAACACATAACGAAATAACTTGTTCAAATTCCAAAAACCAATCCATGAGTCCCAATCGTCTCGTCGTCCTTGAAATCCATGATGTTAATATACCAACGTTTGAAGGGATCGTCAACCATGTATCTCTTAATAATGTTAGCATCTAATTTAAATAAGCATTGAATATCGAATTTATTTCTCTTGGTTGTCATTAATGATGCTTGACTGCTTGTTCTTTTCAAAAATTTCAGAAACTCCAACCACTTAAAGAGACAAA